TCAGAATAATTTTAATTGTGTTGCCATCAGATAGTTCATCAAAGATGAACATTTCAGGGAGGTTTCCACGATATAATCTTTCCTTTGCAATTCTCCCATGCTTTCCCACTATTTTTTTTTCTGTATTTTCATATCACAGGAAATCTGGGAAGGAGGAAAAGGTAGAATTTCAGCAACACTTAATATCTGGAAATACCAACCACTGTTTCATTATCTATGGCTTAGAGGAAAACTCACCTGCTGAGATTATAGTTTATAACTTAGCAAAATATACTAAAGCCCTCTGCCTCCTTCTTAGCATTAATATATCTGCTCCCAGCTGAAAATTACTACCAGCTGAAAATTCTAATCCTGTTCTATGTAATGTAATTCTGTTCAAATTCAGATTGGGTTTGTTGACAGAATTACAGCCATGCCCGAATGACATAATCTATATTTTATATAACCATGTGTAGCGGCAGAGAAAGATGGGATGTGGCCAGGCTGCCTGGCTGTATTTTTATCAGATGCAGTGTGCGCTTTCCACTCCACAAGGTTTTTGACACATCAATCCTTTGACCTAGCCTTCCTGCAAAATCACAGCTATCATTTAATTTTAGGGAAAAATACCTTCATCTGGATTCTTCCTTCTTAATACCAGCTTGTGAAAAAGGCAGGCCCTTTCATAGTCTAAATACATACTTGCCAACAAACTAGAAATAAAAATGGAAGAAGAAAATCAAACTCTATAATGTCATCTCCTGCCCATTATAGTTTTAAGATATGTGGGTAGAGAAGAACTGTTACCCCTCCTTTTTTGTTGAGTCAAAAATATATGCACTAAAAAGCTGTTTAAAAATCAAGTTTACTACAAATTATCAAAGAGAAAATGTAAAATTATCCCAATTTTTTTTAAGTGGATGAAATGTCTTACTTACTGCTGATAAAATCATGAATACCATATTCAACCTCCCATAAAAAAAACTTTGGGGATAATAGGCAAAACTATCTTGAGTGGACTCAAAAAGCTCAAGAGGGAACAAAAATCTAAGAGCTGAGTTTGCTTGGTTCAACTAAAATAAACTTGAGACAAAAAAAATTACTAGAAACAGTAACAGATACATTCAACGTTTGCAGAGGACTCAATGAAGCTGACCAACCAAAGTCCCTGGCTAAAACTTAGAAATTTAGAATAAGGATTCACATTTTTGTAGATAAACCCTGAATCTAATATATTGTAACTTTCAACTAGAGATTGAAGAACAATTTATCTTAGCTCCTATGTTTTCCTGGAGCTCTCAGGTGTCCCAATCCACTGCTTCCTTCTTCACATCTATTCTCCAGAGAAAACAGTTTAGTCTTTTTTCTGATGCTTCCTAGACATCTTTACTTCTTCAGAGGCCTAGAGAACTGTTCTCCGCTTTTTTTAGGGAAATGGTAGAGATGGCTTTTCTACTAAGCTTCTATTTTTTCTTCTTCTTCTCCAGATTAGGATTCCAAAACCAGTTATCTCCTGGTTCATGTGTTCTTAGGCATGTTTTTCCAGCAAGACAGGGCTGACAGGAAAATCTCTTCATCATTGCTCAGTGAGATTTTGTGTACAATATTAAGTATTTGGTTGAGTGTGGGAGGGAGCTTCCTTGACTTGTGTTTGTACAAGTTATAGAACAGCATGCTTGAGGAATGGGGTTCTTTGTTTATTACACATGGTTTGTTGAATATATGATGTTCACAGGATACTGTACACAAAGCTATAAAGAAATATTATACTCCGCTTTAGCACCATGCATACATTTGGACTGTATAATTAAGTTGATTCAGACTGGGAGAGTGGAAATTTATTTATTTTGTAGCTAAATATTAGTTACTTTTACCTGTAGATATCTATATGGTGATATCTACATGGAGTTCTTTTCTGTTTGAGCAAGATTGACTTGAGGTAATATTAATCCTGTTTTTGTTGTGTGGCATCAGAGCTGGAAAAGGTAGAACTGGTTTGCAGAAATCTGACATCCCAATATACTTACATTAAATGCCCTTCAGGCGAGCCATCTTGCTATACCAGGAAAGGTTCATTAAAGAAGACCAAGCTAGAAACTGAGGTATTGAACACAAGAAATAAAGGGGAATAAAAATAGACTGTGAGTACAGATCAAGAATGCTAATAAAGAAGATAGAATAGAATAGAATTCTTTATTGGCCAAGTGTGGTTGGACATACAAGGGATTTGTCTTGATGCAGATGCTCTCAGTGTACATAAAAGAAAAGATACATTCATCAAGAATCATAAGGTACAACACTTAATAATAGTCATGGGGTACAATAAGCAATCAAATCATACTAGGAAACAGTCAATATAAACTGTAAGGATACAAACGACAAAGTTACAGTTATACAGTCATAAGTGGGAGGGGGATGGGTGATAAGGAGTGATGAGAAGATTAATAGTAATAGTAGTGCAGACTTTATAAATAGTTGGACAGTGTTGAGGGAATTATTTTTTTAGCAGAGTTATGGCGTTCGAGAGAAAACTGTCCTTGTGTCTAGTTGTTCTGGTGTGCAGTGCTCTATAGCATCGTTCTGAGGGTAGCAGTTGAAACAGTTTATGTCTGGGATGTGAGGGGTCTGTAAGGATGTAAAATGCAAATTAAGTGACAAGTTAACACAGTGTCCGAAGTTTGCATATCTCATTTTTCAGCAAGTGACTTATCCCTTTCTCCTCCAAACAAATAAAGAGATCTGTAGATCATGTATGTATGGGGTTACTATTATGTTTAATGTAGCTTAATATAAAATAATTTAAGATTACTGATAGCAAGGTGAAAATTCCATGAATACACTCTGATTTTAATTTAAAATCTCACTTCCTTTATTGAGTTCTAGTGGATAAATTTGTGAAGAACTGTACAAATACATACAGAATTAGAGCAATTCGAGAAATCAAGGTAACCAAAATATTCATCTTCTTTAATCTTTGTGAAATTCTCCCACAATAACTTACAATTGAAATTTTAATTTGCAATTTTAAAATTCTCAGATTATTAAAAGAATGGTCTAATCAAATGAACTCTGGCAAATTCTGCATTAATTCAACATCTTTCAAAAAAGGGAATACAATAGAATAGACAAACGCAATTTCAGATGACTAAACCGATGTAGGATTTAAACTAGAGAAAGGGAGGGGAAGACAAATCATGCAGGTTAGAAATTCCATACTTCACATCGGGTATACTTTTATTCTCATTCCATTCATTTCCAAAATATGGTACCACCAGCAACTGTTATCTCTAAAAAAAACCTTGGCTCGAGTTTGTGGTAGCAGAGAATTTCAATGGAATCAACTTGCTCTATTTTCTTCTCATTTTTCTCCAGTCAAGGAGCTATCCAGGTGAGGGAGGAGGAGTCATTTGAATATAGAATCACTCTTCCCTCATCTGGAAAGCTTCTTGATTGGAGAAAAATGAGAGAAGGAGAAGAAAACAGGGTGAGTTGATTCTATTGAACTTCTCGGCTACTCTTTATTGATGTCATTTGGATATTTCTCCCTCACTTTAGGTATATGTTGTAAAATGGCTCTCAAAAATGGGAGGGAAAAATCCTAGTAAAATCCTAACCATTGTCATAGCTAGATTCCTCTGACACATCCAATCAAATAAATGCTTTTTATTTCAGTCTATATCCACTGCTAAAAGCCTTCAACAGCTAAGGGAAAGTAATTGTCCCTGACAGGGTCAACAAAAGTGGCACATTATCTTGTACAATAATGCAAGCCTAGCATACACTAAATCAGTTTTCATAAGACCTGGACCACAATTCCCTAACTCTTGACATGATGGGAGTTGTAGTCCAATAGAACTGAAACGTATTGTAAATAACTGTATTCAATACCAAGGAATCCATTCTTTTTATTTTTAAAAGCCTTTCCTTCTATAACAGTGTGCAAGTGAAAAAAAAGTATCTTGAATGATTCTTTTATATTTCTCATGCAACTTTTTTCATTTTAGTTATCATAAAATAAAAACAAAAACAAAAAAAACTATTTTAAAAAACTCAAAAAATAGTGTTTTATAACTCATTCATGAGTGGTCCAAAAATAAGAGAGGATGTTTTGCTGATGATCTCAAATTTTCCAGGAGAATAAAAAAAGGGGGGATTGCAAAGAACTCCAAAAAGATTTCTCAGGTATACCTAGCCAAATGGACAATTAAAAAAAAAAAGCATATATAGTTCAATATGGTCTGAAATGGATCTGTAATGTGGGCAAAAAAATATTTTGCTATGTCCTGATGAGACGAAGCTGAGAAGGGAATCCTAAGTGTTTTCTTCTGGCAAGCGTAATGAAACACTTAGGGAATCCTAAGTGTTTTCTTCTGGCAAGCGTAATGAAAATATTTACCCACAGTGGTGCAGTTGTATAAATGGTAATTTCTATGTCAAGGTGTATAGGGACAGAAGATAAAAGCTGCAATATACGTGGACACACACGCATAATGCAATCTGTTAGATATTCAATGGGGAAAGTCAGTGATGTCAGACTTCCCCCATTGGTTCATTTTCCAGGCGGGAAAATGAACAGCCGTCAGTGGCTGAAATTGTGGACAGCAGCTTGTAAAAAGAACAGCAGGCACACCGGGCGGCAGTCTTTTGTTTGGAGCTAAATAAAGAAATCCTTTCCTTCTACCGTTGTCCTGCCTCTTCAATATAGCCCACATATAACACTGGCAACAAGGATGGGATTCTAGAAGAGAACAAAGGAAACAAGGCGAAGACGGAAAATTCTAACAACAGAACGCTGCTATCACTGTGCTGATCATCAGAATGTCCACCCGCGCTCAACCAGAACCTTTTGATCCAAAAAAGCATGACTGAGTGGCGTACATGGGATAATTTTGAATGTTTTTAGAAGCAAATTCACTGCAGGATGCAACAGAACAGAGGAGGAGAGCTCTATTCCTGGGATATTGTGGAAATCGCCTCTACAAAACGGCTAGAACCCTAGCTGCAACTAAGATGTGGAAACAATGGAATGGAAAGAATTGCAGAAGATGTTAGAAGAACATTATGCTCCTGCTGCATCATCACTGGCTCACCGACTTGACTTTTACCGCAGAGAACAGAAACCAGGTGAGACCATAAATGATTACCTTACAAACCTACGAGATATTGCTGCAGGCTGTGAGCTTGAAAATGTGGAAATAACTTTAAGAGATAGTATTATCGTTGGAATGAGAGACCTGAGATTGCAAAGGAAGCTGATAACTAAAAAGAGCATCTCTTTAAAAGAAGTAATAGAGGAAGCCCGAGCAGCAGAAATCTCAGAAAAACCAGCAGCAAAAATTGAGAAGTCCGAGAGCGTTCACTCAGCATGGGGGACGACCAGCAAATATCAGGGAGAGGGGGAGATTGGAGAACTCTCCGAAGAAGAGGAGGAAGAAATACATAGAGTAAAACCTGATAGAAGATCAGGGCCCCAAGGGATGAGCCAGAGACCCCTATGGCATGCAGGCTGTAAAGGGAACCACCCCCAGGCAGTTTGCAAATTCAGGGATACAATCTGCCGCTGATGCGAGAGAAGGGGGCATATTGCTGAAGCATGCAGAGCAAATCTGCCAGCATACCCCAATCAGAGACAAGCAGGTTTCCCTAATCACCCACGTGGCCCACAACAAAGGGGATTCCAGAGACCTCCTCATTCAAATTACAGGAGGGAAGAGAATAGAATGGAGAAGGATAGAGACTATGAACACACAATAGTGGGGCATTCTGACCCCTGTAAATCAAAGTAATTCAACATCACAGTGATAATAGGAGAAAAACCTTGTGATATGGAAATTGACTCTGGATCCTACATATCTATGGTGTCCTGGACAACTATAAAAGAAGCAATCCCTGGCATAACTCAACAACAACTAAAACCACAACATTTAACACTAAAAGATTTCCAAGGGAACAGAATTCCCGTGTTAGGAAGAGGAATTTTTCCAGTAAAATTCAGAAACTTCACTGGTGAATTGCCTTTAACCATCGTGGAACAAGAAGTACCAAGCCTCCTCAGAATAGAATTGTTTAGAGCAGAGGTCTTCAAACTTGGCAACTTTAAGACTTGTGGACTTCAACTC